AAATGTCTACTGATACAAATAAATGAAATGAAAGAAGACTTAGAGGCTAGGAAAACAGTCGTTTAGTCAACTTTTAGCTTTATTTCAGCGCAATTGTTTTCCTACTGATAAATTAAATAAGTTTAATCGGTGTTCTTGTTGATAATTATTGAGAAGTGAAGAATATGATAGAATTGTTGTTACTAATATAATGTTACCAATTCATCTTGATTTATGTTTTACAGCATCTGATGGCAATTGCGATAGTGAATCGATAAGCTAATCATTTATATTTAAAAATCCCAGAGCAAAAACCTGTTTACCATTTATTAAGAAAGATGTGCTCGCGTAAACGGTACTATCGAAAAACTTATTTTGAGAAAAAAGCTAAATAGATTTTAGAAAGCAATCTTTGTAAATCACACCTGAATTATATGTGCTTTTAATATCAAGTATTAATAGTCTCATAGTAATTAATATTTCAAAAAAAATTAACAAAATACTTGTGCACGTATAAAGCAGCTGAAACATATCATGAAAATTTCTCGAAAAATATAATAATAGGAGCCAAGCTTTAGACAATAAGTTCATTGGAATCAATTTATTCTGTGATAAACTATAGATATTCCGAAAGAAGAGACTTGGATGCATCTTCATATGAAAAAAGTTCAATTTACACTTGTCTTGAAAAAATTGGATTTACTAAGGAGGCCGAGCCTCCCTAATGATATGGCAGAAGCTATAAATAAATTTGTGGATATGAGGATAAATTTGTTTTTTTTAAATCTAAATCACATGGATGATATTAGTAATGTGTATGAAGAAAGAACATTGAATTTTTCATATAAAAATATATAAGAGTAACATTTAACAAAGTTTTTTGTTATTAATGTTAGTAATAAGAAAAAGAATAATTGAATAAAATGCAAAATTAGTATTTAAAAACAAATAGCCAATTGCAAATGATCTTTTTATCGCTGGTACTTTTAGAGTATAAACTCTAGCTCATATGTAAACTGCAATAGAATATTGAATTAGTAATTTTATTGTATTATTGATTCATGAGTTATTTATTATTCAAAATAGCATTCATGAATAGAAACTGAAAAATAATAACAGTAGTGAATTATACGTTTTATGATGCATAGTATTTATAAATTATTTTCTATTTATACTAGAGTTAGTAATATCTTTAATCCACATGATAGATCTACTCTATAAATTGTACTTTGAGCCTTTTTAGAAATCTCGCTTTCTTTTTTTTTAATGAGGGAAATACGGACAGATGCGGATCCAAAATCCGAACCTTGGTGTCCACAACCCTATATATTCGAATAGGAAGGTCCAAAATAGAAACGGCTGATTTTACTCCTGAAGAATACTTCCCAGAATTTGTGGTAAAACTTTCAGCCCAATCGGACAAAGTTAGAGCGGGGAGAGGGGATTCATAAACAGCTCCGATTGAGAAAATTCTAGTTTTGCACTATGCCAAGTAAAAGCAAAACAATTTCTTACGATCTCTATGAAGTAAAAAATTTTTTTAATTCAGTAACTCTAAGGTGTTTAGAGTTGAATGATGTGTCTAATTGCACATACCACTTGAGACTAGCATACCTTATGCCTAACTCGAAATCAAGTTTCTGAGGAGGAGTACCTTTAAGAATGAAAGAAATTGTAAAGAGAAAAGGAGATCGAGTTAATAATTTTAAACAAAATTGTCAATGTAAATTATGTGTAGAATAAATATATGATTATTTTCATTGTACAGTTGCTCTGTTAGATTTTGTTGTCAAAAAAATAAAGAAATTTTTTTCTTGTTCTGATTATTCGGAATAAAAAGAACTGTTTTTTGAGAACCAAAAACGCATGTAAAAAATTTCTTCATTGATTCTCTCTTATTTTCAATTACAATCTTTATTTTTAACACAATCAACGTTCTTTAAAATGACTATTATTTATTTGATAGAACTACTTAAAAGTAGTTGCAGAGATATATCGATAGAAACATGTGTGTGAACTTTTGTCTCTTATGAAATAATATTCATAACTATGACGTATACATGTACAAGAAAAATAGTTTTTGATATGTTCATTGATTTGATTCACTGGATCACAATATAGAGCAGCAAGTTTTATACAATTATTTCGTGTTATATATCTTGTAAAATAGTATGTTACTCGTTCAAGTGATTCATAATCGACCAAAAGATGAATATTATTTGGCAAAGACATATTCGTATCAAATAAAAATAGTTCGAGATAATCATCATGAGTTTTAGTAAGATCAAGTCGAGTAAGATTGAAATATTCAATAATTGATAATATTTGATTATTATTATTTGATTTTATAAATTGTTTATATTTTTGTGCTTTTTGATTTTTTATTGTTAATTCTTTCATAAATGGAAATGATATTTGCATTCGAAGAAAAAATTCATATTCAAATGGATGTTCATCATATAATGATACTTGAGTAACACTAGTAAATAATCCACCTCGAAAATTATTTGTTAGATTATTGTAAAATTTCCATTTATATGGATATGAATAAATATGACATTGACTATATCTTCTTTCTTGAAAATGATCAATAGAAGTAATTATTTGATTATTGAAATTATTTTTAAATGTATTTTTAAAATGTTCATTTAAGGAAAAATTCATTTGATTACGATGATTAATAATTGAATATATGTTAAATGTGAATTTATATAATTGTGACATATAAATAATATCTTTCTTCAATGCATCACCATCAATAAATTTTTCATAACAATTAACTGTAATATTTAAATCAAGTTCTTCTAAATTTAACATTCGATGTAGAAGTGGCACAATTGATTCATCATAACTATATATTTTCGCCTCGCAACATAAAGAAAAAATCCGTAAGTTTGGTAATAGTTTTTGCTGAAAATGAAAACAAAAGAATATGAATTCATTTAAAGAAAAAATATTAATAAAAATAACCTACCTCATGATCAGTTTGCAAAAATCTACGCGAAGTACCATAACAAGTAACATAAAGTATACGAAGTTGATCAAAACGTCCATCAAGTATAGAAAAACAGTCATTCATATCTTTTACAGTGATATGTAATTCTAATAAAGTTGAACAAATAGTCCTAGGTGTCATATAAATAAGTAAAGCATCAAGAGAAGATGAAGATGGATTGATTTTTAAGCATCGTAAATTAGTACATGTATTGAAAATTCCTATTAATATAATTGAAGACATATATCCTACTGCAGTCGAATCGTTTTCATCACTCAAATTGATAAACAGTGATGAAATTTGATTCTTGAGCAGATCAGTTAAAGGATTTTCATCTAAATAAAGTTTTCAAGTAAATGATAAAATTTCAAATCTATTTCTATTCATTCGATTAAAATATCTAAGATTTTCAATTTAACAACCTTTTCTTTTTTATTTTTAATTCTCTGATAGATTACATTGTATATGATCCATGTTGTGTTTTATATCTCATTTGTTTACTTTTTTATATTATTTTTTCTCAGCGGCGGATCTAAGATTTTTGGAAGAGAGGTGCGATTTTCCAATGGGGGGGGAGGGGAGGAGGAAGGGGGTGCAGTTCTAGGCAAAAAATATAATTCCAAATGTATTCAAGGTAGTACGAACTTGTTTTTTTCGTTCGTTTTTGCTGGGAAAAATCGAAAAATTTTTCTCAAAGGGAGGTGCGCCGAAGCAATCGCACCCCTCTAAATCCGCCACTGTTTCTTCTAGACTTCCTATATACTATCTCTATTGATCTTGAAAAATTTCAATCAAATATATAATCAATATCTTTTTTTCTTCTTATAGAAATCAATGATTAAATTCTTTTTCTCGTCATGACGCTTCTATGAAAGATATGTTTTGTGTAGTACATTAAACTGAAATCAAAAATGTTTTTTTATTAGTAGATAATATTTCATTATCAAATATCTAATTCTATTAGATTATATGTTGAAAAGATAATCATTTTTGTTTTCCAACAACTATAAAATTCTACAATGAAATCAAAAAAAATCTCTTACCAAAAAACAGAGATTCAGCTACTTTGTTGTTAATATCACATAAACCAAGATGATTTAAATTAGGATAATTTGTAGCATGAAGAACACGTTCTATTGATGTTCGTGAAAGAAAAAGAATTATAATTTGATGTCCTATTTTAGGTAAAATTTTTGAACAAAATTGATCAATTATTGGATCTGGAAATGGAAAAGTAGACTCGTCGACTGGACAATATTCTAGTAAACATAAATCGCGAGTAAAAATGGTATCATGTACAATTCTATTGAATCGTTGATTAACATCCATTAAAGAATAAAGTACTTCATCATTGTACAATTTTTTAAATATATACATAAGAATTTCATCAGGTAAATCATTCAACTGAACCAATAAATCTTTCATGTTTATTTGTCTACATATATCTACTTTACTAAGACTATATATATGTGTTGTATTCATTGATTTTTGATTGACCGATATCGTCAATAAAAACAATGATATTCTTTTCAATTATCTTATTAGACGATGAACGAAAATAGTGAAAAATAGGATGGCCTTTTTCTTTCTCTTTCTTAATTATTGAATAGCCTTTAAAAAGATATATGATTGAAAATTTTATTTGTTTGCAAAGAAAGAAAAAAGCATATTTATGAAATTTATTTATTATCTTTCATTAAATGATTATAATAAACATTATTTCGATTGTTGTTTTCGAATTTTGGTTCATGATCATTTAAATGAAAATCTATTTGAAATAATATTGAAGAATAGTTCAATTGATGAAAAATTTCATTTTAAATATATGGAGTTTTTTCAAAGTCATTTTAAATTATCTTAGATAGATAAATTTTGAATACAAGATTCTTTTTTTCACAAGTAATTTGAAAAAATTGATTGAATTGAATACAACTGATTTTTGATAGATATTTTTTTAGTGTTTGATAGAAAATTTTTTCAAATTTTCTAATATATTTTATTTAATTTTTCTAAAAGATTTATTTCAAATGATGTAAAATCAAATTTAAGAATTCAATCGATTAGAAACAATTGCTATTTAGTTTGACTATTAAATGTTAATAAAAAAAAATATTAAAAAACAATCAATGAGTTTTATTTTCTTGTTTATATATTCTTTATGGTTTTGTTTTAATCATAATGATATCCATTAAGATAATTGATGTTTTAGTGATATTGTATTTAAAAAGATTAATAAATTAACTTTTGTTGTTTGTTAAATAAACTCATTCTCTTTTAAATTATTTTGTGATAGAACGTGTGTCAGATCATGAAATAGTATGTCTACTTATCATTTATTTGTTTCACAAGTACTTTTAATAAAAAAAATGGTTTCCGTACACTTTATTACACTGCTAGCAAAAATGAAGTGCAAATATACACTTTGCTATTATAGTGAATCAAAATGAGAGAGAAAGAAAAATATACCACTCGTTTCGACTCATTATACACGCTGGAATTATTGCTATGATTCAAAAGAATAGAAAAATAAAGAAAACGTGTATGTTTTTCTCCTTTTTTTTTCTTATATATGATTATTATTTAATCGACTACTTTCATCTTCGAATAATTGATTAAAATATGTTTCGTTTTCCGGAAGAAAATGAGGCATACCATGTTTTACTTTATTCCAATTTGTTTCTTCACCAATTTTCAATACTTCATCATTTTCTTCTTCTGTAGGAGGTTCATCAGTTATTGATACTGTTTTACTTTCTGATGGTTGTTCAACTTCTCTATATACAAATTCTTGTCGCCATGTTTTAAATGCTGAACCAGCTAAACTATGAAACTAATTTTAAGAAAAGCACACACACATACATTTAGACAAAATATATATGTATAACTTACAAAGATAATATCTATAATTGGTTCTTGATACCATCGTACATCAGGATCTATTTGTTGAATATTGTACATTGTTGGACTGAATAGAATAATCTTGAGAAAAGAGAAAGAGAAAATTCTTTAGAAGAAGAATACTTTTTTTTTCTTTGTTGACCATTAACTGTGAAGGCTAAATATCAAAAATGATTACTCTACTTTTTGATAGTTAACATCTGACATAGAATTCTTCTCGCTATATTTACTTGACTTTCCTCAATATACACCCTACCTATCATCAGAAATCATTATATAGATAAACTGTAGCAGCAGATCTATGTCACACAATGATATATAAATACTGTCGAACAGCTGATTTTGATGCATTAACTCCAGTTTAGTCTTACACTATATAATATTGAGGATGAAACACATTATCTTTAAAAAGATACGATGGTTGACGTAAAGATTTAACTATAACTATGGAGAGAATTTTAATGGACTCACTTTATCACCATATACTTGATTATTAATCCATGATGGAATAAAAGTTGATTCTTGTTGTTCTATTTATCTTTGTATTATTATCATTGGTTTTTTGATTATCTGGATGTTTTGAATGACTTGTATCGATATCTGATGCACCAATTTTCTTTTCAAGATGATCATCAACAGTTTTATTATCAAGATTTTTGTCGTTTATATCATCTTCATCATAAATTGGTCTTGTATATCATATACGATATATAAATTTGTCGACAAGTTTCAATTGTTTTGATAGAGGTTGATTTTCGTGTACAATTTCTTTTCTTTCCTCTGCTTTTTGTTCTGCTTCAATTAATTCACGATTACTAATTTCTGAGGATGGATGTAACATTTTCATGTTTTTTTTTTGACGAGAATTTTTTTTTCACTTGTTAATGTACTAGAAGAAAATTTGTTTTATTTTTCTAATATAATTATTTCGTCTAAACAATTTCAGAATTGTATAAAAAAAAAACTTCGTCTTGGAGAGGTAGAACCATCGTCTTAATGTAAATACTGCTGTCTTCAATATGCAATGATTGAGGAATCGAGAGTATTGTTCTTTCATTTGTTATAGTCATCGTATAGTCTATAATAGTAGTATCGATCTGCTGAGTAGTTTTGTTTTTAATCCAAAAATTCCTATACACTAGCCTTTTTTTTTTTTTTCTTTCGAAAATATTGTTCTGATGATTATTGAGGACTCTTATAGAAAAAAACATGAGGTTCGTTTATTATGATTAGATAAATATGTTCATATGATTAGTAAAAGAATAGACTTCCGCTAATAGAAAGTTGTATTTGCCGTTTTTTCTTGTCATAAAATACTATTGAATAAATTATTTACATACTGATCGTGTATTGGTCGATAAAGATTTGCTAGAATAGTCGAAGCCAATAATGAATAAATAATATTATTCTTATCCAATGCCATATCATGAAGAATTCTTACCCAACCTATAATTAATATAATATAATTATAATTATTTTAAAGAGAAAAAAATTTTTTTTTTATTTTTTCAAACCGATGGCATAAAATGTATCATGTCTTTGTTGATCTCGACTAAGTAATAAAAGAATTTTTCCAAGGAATCTTGCAAATCCTATATTATCTTTTCGTTTTTCATATAAATATTTTAGTATTTGTAAACTATTGAAATAAATAAGATCAAGTGGATAACGATCAGCATAACCAGGAAGAGCATAGAGAAACATTGAATATAATTCAAGATTTTATTGATAAGATTTTATTGCTTTTGATGATATATCAGCATGTTCACCTTCAAAATGTTGAACAAGATCAAATACAGTTTGAGAATGAACATCATCCATATACGATTGGAACTATTCAATAAATATATCAATATTGAAAGAAAATTTATGACAATGTGATAAATTGTCTATAAGTTGAGATTATACTCAATCAATACAGTCGAGTAAATAGATAAATTGTTATTCTGGAGTATTAACCTATTCACTCGACTTTATCAATTGAGTATAATCACATTTTAGAGGTTCAGATTAAGAAAACTCAAGAAGATTTCGCGTCCATATATCATTCAGACAGAGTTATGACTGATTTAAAAGAATTCTTCCTTGAAGTTTTGCCGAAAGATTTGCATGTGGGCAAAATTTCAAATGAAAAAAAACAACTCGTAATTAAGTGCTTCAGGAATAGTTGATCTACTAAAACTGTCATCACTCTGTCTATATAATGTATGAGTGTAAACTCTTTTGAACTTTTTCTTAGTTTCATATTCTATAGAATGATAATTTTCTTCATTCTACTTTTCTTACCAATTTCAGATAATGTTGACTTAATATATCTAAAGGACGTTTTTTTATCATCAATTAATTTATTAAGAAATTCTTTTATAGTATGTAATAGTACATCATCATCATCATCATTGAGATTTTCTATATTACCTGTGGTAAATACTTTTTTATTTCCAATTGAAAATGTATATGGTGGATCAATAGGAAATAAATTTGAATTAGCTTCATAAGTTCGAGCTAACCTTATAGCTGAATGATAATCAAGTTGTTGACCAATAATTGTATAATAAATTGAAGGTAAATTATTTAATTTAGCTAAATGAATAAGATCACGTTGACGTATATGAGTATTTGTTGAATGAGTTAATTTTATATAATGTAAAGCTTGTTGATAAATTGCAGTTATGACTGCATTAGTTGATTCAATTGGTATATATACATTGTTATCTTTATTTGATAAATTATATTTCGATTCAAGTACTATGTTCGATAGTTTAGTTGTATTATTTTCATTTGAATTTGATTGATTTGAAAGGTTCTCTTGTCGTCGATGAATCAAACGTGTCAGGCGAAATGTGGCGGCTGCTGATGTTGTTATGCTTGTTATAAGAATTGTAAAGCTATGGAATCGACGAGTCATTTTCTTTTTTTTTATGAAACCAAACAAAAAAAAAATTATATTAAAAAAAAAAAAGAAAGTTCTTTAAGTATTGTAAAAATATTTATGAATACACAGTTATGAACACTTTTTCGAAGCATTACAGGAAAGAAACGGAACATGATCAAGTCATTCATTCATTCATTCATTCATCAATTGAATTGAATTTTCTTTGGTTTTACATATCACCACTAGTATAGGGAGTCAATAGATGGCGTATTATTTTAATCAATATAGTTTCAAAAAACATTGTCAACTATCAAATATTCTTTTCTTCCATATTGATGAAATTGATATTATTATTATTCAAAGACATAGGAGTATTATTAGAGTCGAATAACAGTATGTTGGCCTGAGTCTTTGCCCATAGACAGATGAATCTCTGGATATTAAAGTTACTTCTATTCTATGAAAAATCTCAAGGAGCTTAATATATTTTTTGTCAAAAGACTTATTTTAATCAATAGATATTTAATTTAAATGGAAACTGATTGTAGTAAGATTATTTATTACGCACACATACATGGATACAAAATATATTTTCGAAATTTATTACCCGGTAATAAGACATACATTTCAGCATTTTGCTTGTTTTTTTTTTTTAAGTTTTCTTTTTCTTTTTTGTTCTGAACACCGATATATGCAATAATAAACAGTTAAATAATGTGTTCTAAAAATTCTTCATATTTACACAAGACAACGGTACTAAATAATACAATAATAATCCTCGTTTAGTTTTTTATTATAATCTGGCCTCCGATTGCGATTTTCTTAAAATATAGGAATCCTTAGAGTAGCGGCGTAACCAGGATTTTGGCGGTGGTAGGGCTCAGATTACTGAAGCATGTGAGGTGGTAGGGCTCAGGTTACTGAAGCCTGTACGGTGGTAGGGCTCATGAAAGGATTTAACTGACGATGCTAGCCCCGGTGGTAGGGCTGTAAGGTCGGGTGGTAGGGCTGAGCCCCTCCTGGCCCTACCTTGGTTACGCCACTACCTTAGAGAATCAAGTTTGTCTAAAATATAGGATTTTCGATAAAAAATGACAAAAATATAGGATTTTTTTATAGATCGTTTCTGTTCATTTGTTTTGGTGTTTTTTTAATTTCTCTGTTCGAGTATTGTTTTAATGAAGCTGTTATAAACAGCTCAACCATAATCAAGATTCTTATGTAATTTCTTTCTACTGAAATAAGTCACTAATTCGAGAATCATTATAAAGTTTAGTTATAAAATTTTTTCACAAATCAATATATAACAATAAAGTAGATCATAAACTTTGAAAAAATAAATATATGAAAAAAAAAATACTATTTTTCATAATTAATTTAGATAATGAACAATAAGAAGAATTAAAACAATGATTCTTCTTATTCAGAGAAGACATCGGTTAGAAAAAGTAGGTCAAACGAACAAGAACATATAGAACAGTTGGACAGAAAAGAAAACAACAGAACAAGTCCATATGTATAACAGCCGAACACAGAAGAAAAGAAAAAGAACGAGGACATATGTATAACAACTGGATAGAAAGTAAAAGAAATTAGAGCAGTATGCAACAGATGATCTATTAATTTTTTTTCATTTTATCTAGAATAGTTTAATTTCAAGTTCAAATAAAGAAACAATTTTCAAATATAGAAATTTATCCATGCTGTATAAATCTATATGTATTTATTCTAATCACAGGAATATACATCTATACGTATACAGACAACCATAAAACGTTTCAAATGGTTCATAATTATTTTGTAAACGTTGGTTTAATTTTTTATACTTTATACGTATTCATGGCATTAAAGAGTTTTTCATTTAATCCACTCACTGGACGAAAAGAAATGCGGTCTATTTAAGAAAGATGTTCTCATAATATGTACGATCGTCGAAAAAATTTCACTAGGTTTTAAAATATTTGTCCTGTCGAAAAAGAAGAATACTTTGTGGAGTAGAATTCGCAAATTTCGCACATTTCTTTATCTTTCTTCAATAAAATATAGGTAAAATAGGAATTTTAATCGAAATATAGGACAAAATAAAGGATTTTTCAAGAATATAGGTATTATAGGAAATATAGGATGAATCGGAGGCCAGGTTATATCTTTATCATCTTATAAAATTATCACTCATTATGCAATAATTCATGTTATTTAATTTAATTTTATTATTCAAAGACAACAACTTATACTTTAAAAATGCTTATGTTTACTAATCTCAATTTATTATATATTATATCGTCAAATAATAATATATTATACAAAATCAATATAATTCAAAAAATTTTATTTTATTTCTCAAACAACAAAACTATATTTAAATGTTCATCTACATTAATTTCAACTTATAATATATCTTTATCATCTTATAAAACTATTACTTATTATGCAATAATTCATGTTATTTAATTTTATTATTCAATGATAACAACTTATATTTTTAAAATACTTATATTTATTAATCCCAATTCATTATATATTATATCGTTAAATAATAATTTATTATACAAAATTAATGTTATTCAAATTTAATTTTATCTCAAACAACAAAATTATACTTTAAATGTTCATCTATATTAATTTCAACGTATTATATATCTTTATTATCGTATAAAATTATCACTTATTACGTGATAACTCATGTTATTTAACTTTATCATTCAAAGACAATAACTTATATTTCTAAAATGTTTATGTTTATTAATCTCAATTCATTATATATTATATTGTCAAATAATAATCTATTATACAAGATTAATATTATTCAAAAAAAAAAAAGAAAATTTTTATGTTATTTCAAACAACAAAAATCTATATTCATTTCAACCTACGTAAACGTTTTAAAAATGAAGAAATAAATATAAATAAAAATGAAATTGAAGATGAACATTTTGATGATATACTTGAATCAATTTATATTGAAAAACTTCTTTCAATACTTTCAATATGTCATTCATCACTTGATTCATTACTATCAATACCGTTAAATTCTTCAACAAAAATTTCTTGCTGCATCAATAACATCAACAAATCAATATTCTCATCATTTATACATACAACAATACATTTAAATATAAATGATTTAATATCTGTTGATGATAGTATTTATTATTGTTTATCATCATTTATATCACAACCAAATTATCTTATACTAATAATTTGTCATTATTTAACAACAAATCCATTATTCTAATCACTATTATTATTATTTATTATTTATTCAATACATAGTACAAAATTATTATTTGAAATATTAAATCAATATAAATTTCTTGATTTATTAGTTAATAATTTATTAATATATTCAAATTATTTATCAAATCAAACACAAATACCATCAATACAACGTATTTATGATCAAAGACAATCATTAAATAATACAATGGATATTGGTTCAATAAATTTATTATCACAATGTCAAATGACATGTTCAAATCCAAATGCAACATCACCTGAAATATTAATACAATCAAATAATAATCTTCAAACAACAATAACATTATTATCACGTCGTTTACGTTCACCACCATGGTCATATACATATTTACCTAATGAACAACGTTCTACATTGATCAGTTAAATAGAAATTTAACACAATATCCATCATCAATAACATGTGAAATATCAATAGATGGTCATTATTTTATACCATCTAGTTATTTATTAAATACACAAGGACAACAAATAATTAATTTATCATTAACAAAACCAATTGATATTGTTAAACAATTCCGTATACATTTTTATAAACCAATTGATCATGATAGAATTGGTTTACAACAAATCTACATATATGGTTATTATGCATATGATCAACAAATGATTATTGAACAAACAAGCCATCCATATCAAACATTAATATCAACTGTTTATGGTAAACAAATATTAAATAATAAAAATAATTTAAATACAACAATAATAACAACATTAAATGATGATGATAATATTAAATTAATGTATACATCAATAAAATCTTCAACAACAAATATAAATATAATTGATAATAGTCATCAAATATCAATGATATTATCAGATAAATATCGTTCATTTAATCATTATTTACAATTAATACATTTATGTTTAAAAAAAAAATTCATTAATATTAAATGATAATTTATTTGAAAAATTTCTTTTTATACTTAAAGAAAAATTTTTCATATAAATAATTTTCTTTTTAATGAAATATTTATTTTTATTAGTAATCATTGTACAGATAAACAATTTGATTTATTTTGTTAAATAATTAATTACATATAATCATTTTAATATTTTATCAGAAATAAATTTTCATGGAAAAAAAAATTTATTATTTAATTATTAATATTAATCATTTAATTAATGATCAAATGAAATAAATTATTAATAATATGTTATGGAAAATAAAAGAAGATAATATAAAATTAGATGGAGGAAAAAAAAATTTATTAAAATATTTATTAAAAAAATTATACATGGTTATTACCATCAATAGCACATCATAAACCATTATTAGTTATGAATTATATGAACAAAAATGAAACATTTATTGAACATTTTAAATAATTAAAAATATGTTCATTAAGTGTTGAATTTCTTAATGAAATATTAATTAATGAATATTTTATTAAATCAATTGAAGAATTAAATCAACAAATACAATATATAATAAATAA